CTTTCCCTAAGTGATCTCAGGTAGTCCTATAACTTTGAATATCATCTATATACTGAGTACTCCCAAATTTTTATCTCCAGCTCTAGGTTCTCTTCTGGAAGCTCCAAACCTGTACATCCAACTGCTTCCTCAACATACCAACTTCATATCTAATATACATTTCAAATTTAATACACCCAAAACAGGATTCATGATTTCTCCCACCTCAAATGTCTCTCTTCCATTCTTCTCAGCGAATGCTGCCATCTACTCGAAGTTTCTCAAAACAAGTATCAAAAAGCAAAGAGTTCTCCCTTTTACCAATCCATTTCCAAGTCTTGGTCATTCTACCTCCAAAATATTTGTTAATCTTTCTACTTACTCTTCTCCATCTCCACAATCATGGGCCTAGTCCAAGGTACTGTAAACTAACCGATCTTCTAGCTTCCGCTCTTGCCCTCTTCCTCCGCCCAGCAGATTATGCTACTTTCCTTCTTACAGCCTTCAAAAGAGTTCTCATAAAAACTAAATTCCGGGCTTCCCTGGTGGCGCAGTGGTTGAGAGTCCGCCTGCCAATGCAGGGGACACGGGCTCGTGCCCCGGTCCGGGAAGATCCCACATGCCGCGGAGCGGCTGGGCCCGTGAGCCATGGCCACTGAGCCTGCGCGTCCGGAGCCTGTGCCCCGCAACGGGAGAGGCCACAACAATGAGAGGCCCGCGCACAGCAAAAAAAAAAAAAAAAAAAAAACCTAAATTCCTAAGAACGGCTTCACCCGCTCCTATCTTTGAAAGAACATACAAAACCAAAAATATACACTCCATGATAATATCTCTGGACAGTAAAACTATGGGTACTTTTCCTCATTTTTCTTGTATTTTTAAATTTTTCTATGATGAATACCTACTACTTGCTTATTAAGAAAGAGGAAATTATATTGCTGAATACTACATAATATTATATTCTTACATGTTAAGGAGAAAAGGGAATGGAAAATTGTAGTAACAACTCCGTAACTGTTACAAGCTTAGAAGAAAACAGTAGCAAACAAATATCAAAATTCTAAGAATGAGGTGTCAGGGCTGTAGAATTACTGGTGATATTTTCCCTCAACATAATTACATTCACAATAGAAAAAAAAAAAAGGTTATGAGATAAACCTCATTGTCTTCTGCAATCTGGCCGCAACCCACCAAAGCAGCCTTTCACTCCCACCCCGCACTGTCTCACACCTCTGGTGCTTTAACTCGGGCACCATCTCTAGAGTATCCTCCAACCTTTCTAAATCCTACTCATCCTTCACGGTGGAAGGAGACGGTAGGGAAGCCGACAGGTTGGAGAAAGATTCCAGGATTCTTGCTGATAAATCCACAACTTGCCGGTGCTGGGGCCAAATCTCGTCTCCAATCCCATCGCAGGCCACCAGGTTTAACGTGCTAAAAGCTCCCGCCAGTGGGGCTCAGGGGACCCCCAGCCCCTCAGAGAGCGCGGTGCCCCTTTAAAAAAGACACCCCTCACAACCCAAATTCCGGGTTCCCGCTGCAGAGACTCCCCCGGCACACTCACCCCGGACCCAGCCTCCTCCTTCGGATCCTCTCCTCTCGTCAGTCACCCGCCCCCTCCCTCCCTCCCCTCAGCCAGGGTGCCAGCGCGTCCGGCGGGGTGGGGGAAGGGCGCGCACGTGCCCGCGCCGCCCCCGCCCAGACAATGCCCGGGAGAACGGAGCGCGCGCCCGGCGGTCCCATCCCGCTCCCGCCAACACTCACCCTTTTTCCGACTCTCCGGCTGAAGCGCAGGCCCCGCCGGCGCCGCGAGAGAGCACGGGGGAGGGGAGGCAGTGGGCCAAGCCCCGTGGAGCCGCCCCGCCACGAGGCCCCAGCGACCCCGGAGCCCGCGGAAGCACACTGCTCGGCAGAGGCCGCCCGACCCGTCTGGCCCGGACGTCACCAGCGAGGGCGGTGGCGACGCGCGCGGTTCCGGGGGCGGAGTTCGCAAGGTTGTGGGCGGGGCCGGGGCGGGGTTGAGGCTGTCCTAGACTCTCACCCCGGGCCGGGACGCGCTGGCTCGCACTGCCCAGCCCTGCCCCACTACCTGGGGAGTATGGGCGCCGGTTCTGGTAAAGGCACCATCATATATTATTTTCCTCCTTAGAGAAAGATGGAGTTCCAGCTCAAAGATAGAATATTCATTCTGCAGGCATTTATGAAGCTTCTACAGCAAGGACCACAGTAGCTATGATTTTTGTATGTGTCATCTTGTACCAACCTTTGTGCTCTCTGCTAGGGATACAGATGACTATAGTTATTACTAACCTATTTTACAGATGCAGAAACTGAGGCTCAGAAAGGTTATCTAGGTCATACAACTAGTGAGTAACGATCCATCAAGTACTGTTTTTCACCTAAATATCTCTTGAGCCCAACCTTCCCTTTCATTCTCCCTGTACCACCCTACAGTAGACCCCATCATCTCTCTGCCCAAGGCCACTGTAGCCTCCCATGTGGTCTCCAGGTATCTATTTCTGTCCCCCTCCAATCTGTTTTCCTCACTATGTAAAGATGTACCATTGGAATTACCAAGGTCTAGAGGGGGTTCACTTTATAATTTTTTTTCACTTTATGTATATGTTATCAATTTTTTGGATGTGTTTAATAAAAATATTTTAAAGGATTTACTCGTATATCTCCAATTGCAAGCCCAGTGCATTGCACATAGTATGCACTCAAAAAGTATTTGTTGAATAAATGAATACTAGGGCCAGGAACTTACTCCAAAGCCCTGCATGATAAGGGAATAGAGAGATTTATAAAATGTCACTGTTGGCCTCCTGACCTTAATGTCTATTAAGGGTAAAGGCAGATTAACAATATTTGTTCAACAAATTTTTTGTGTGTTTCTATTCTGTGTCCTGGCACTGTGTGCCCAGCACTATGTTAGATACTGAGGATCAGAAATGAACAAAACAATTTCTGCCCTTGTGAAATTTACCGTCAATCTAATCTGAAAGGCCAGGAAAGGACCCTCTTAGCTTTAAGCTAAAACCCAAAGAGAAAATGGGAATTGGGGAGATAAAAACAAATTTCATGGAGAAAGAGGTAGGGTAAGTGGTCAGCATGGGCATGTCTTTATCCTCCTACTTTGGGGGTCTAACCCTGAGGCAGGGGCTTAGAAATATCCAGCTGAGTGTGGAGGAGGCTAGAAGCCCAGTTCTCCTGGCCCAGCTTGGAAGGCTGCCCAATTCTGGCAGAAGTCTCACATTGATCAGGACTTAGGAGCAGACAGCAGCATTAGTGAGAAAGAGGAATCTGAGATAGTGCTGCTGGGTGTCCACAATTTGCAGATGGTGTGCCAGAAACCCAGACTTCTCTTATGCCTTCTGCCAGGCAAGCAGAAAGTAGCATGGGTGAGAGCCATGGACAGGCCAATGGGCACTGTGCCAGGGGCCAGGTGGTCCTAAACCAGAGGCCTTATGGTGGACTAATTGGCAGGTAATGATGTGGCTAAGACCCCAAGGATGGGCAGAGCTAAAAACCCCAGCAAGAGCTGAAGTGCTCCCAGGTCAGCTGGTGAGAGGAGCAGGGATGAAGGAGTCGGGATGGGAAGGTGAGAAGTCAGACTCTCAAGGTGCTGAAGCAACAGATCATGAGCTTGACAGCCAACAACCTCAGCAGTTGATGCCAGTAGGGCCCTGGTGACCAGGTGACTAGGCACATGGCTGCAAAGGCCAGTGAGGACCCAGACTATGGCTCACATCTCTGCACACAGATCTGAGACCCCTCTGGCCACTCCCTCGAGGCTTCCCTTTGATCCCACAGGCCATCTTGGGAAGTCAAGAGTGGGGAGGGGGGCTTCCCTGGTGGCGCAGTGGTTGAGAGTCTGCCTGCCGATGCAGGGGACACGGGTTCGGGTCCCATGTGCCGCGGAGCGGCTGGGCCCGTGAGCCATGGCCGCTGAGCCTGCACGTCCAGAGCCTGTGCTCCGCAACGGGAGAGGCCACAACTGTGAGAG